TTAAATAAGGAGTACCAAACATAACACAGGTGTCAAGAAAGCAGCAAGATAGAAAGCCAACTAGAAGCATATATTTATGACGCGTGATACTGAACCTTTTGGTGAAAGTACAAGTGGATCAGCTGCTGGGAAGTGATCTCTTCGTGCAATAAACACTTCTGAGTAAGTAAATCACTGAAAAACCTTTTAAAGTACTATACAAATAGCTTTCTTTAAACACTCAATCTGTCAAGCTGCATTATGCCTGATAGGCCTTGAAGGCTTCATTGTTTAGCAAAGGGTATTTTCCACAGGAAATCTCCAGAGGACAGGCATTTCATTTAGATGGTGAACAGAATACTAAACCAGCCACAATGTAAAACAAAGGGGACTTCTACCATTCATCATATTTTTAAAAGCTGATCAAAGTGGCTGAACAAGACATAAATGTAAAATACTTCAATTAACCCAAATAAGAAAGTTTTAAGATATAACATTATCATAATGGGCTAGATGGAATGAACGGTTTTCTCTTATTTATAAACATTCTCATGTACTTAACAGTAACTGGTGTCAGTAAACAGTTTCTCTACTTTCCCGCACAGTAAAAATCTAATTTCTGACCAACAGCCATTCTAAATATGTAGAAGGAGCCAGTGTCAAAATAAATTTACAATTTACTAATATTATGAATGAGGCCACATCATTCAAACGTTATCACTTGTTGCTTTGTCAGTGAGAATAAAAATCCCAGTGTCATCATACTATGAATTGTACAAGGTTTCAATATATTACATGCCATCAGCATGCTTTTAACTCTCTCAAAAGTCTATCTTTATTCTACTGTAATAGCTATAATTATTTTCAGCAACCAAATTTACCAGTATTACAGGCAATTATATTAAAGGGTTATTAAGAAGATCTTAAGATCTGAAAAGTTGATGGCAACAGGTAGACGTTCCTTTTTATTTTAACAGTGCAAGTGCAATGAGGAAAAGAAAATACTTTTCTTTCACTGCAGTATTACAAGTGAGTTGACCCTATTCTGTCAAAGTGTTAGTAAAGTTGCCAGTTAAACATTTGGTGTCTTTATTAACAACTGCATTAATGTGCAGGTTACATGCTGCGTTGATGGAGTTTCTTGTAGAGTCATGCAGCTCTTCCAGCCCTTTCCAGATCGCCATTTCAGTTTTGTTTAGTCTTTGTGATCTAATATTCGTTATTCTGCCTTAGACACATATTGGCCTTATATTCTGAGCCTCTCACTAAAGGCTTCATGTGTTCACGAGTTTCAGCTCCGTTTTTTCAGAATGTCTTTAATTTCTTTCTGCTCCCTCAGGATTGTTTCCTTTTAAGTCTCCATGCAGTCTGCAGAATTTCTGTCACTGTCAGCAGGTTTCAGCCTTATAATTCTGCCACTTTCTAAAAAACTGCTCCGAGTCTCTGAGTATTATTGGACTACCAAAGGGTTTTGAAGGAGTTAAGTGCAATAAATTCATCTGACTTTTGCTTTTAGAGTTATTTTGTGACGATCAATTAGAAAAGAACACATCACTGGAACCATAGAAAGAAAGACCACAAAAGACAAGTGTCTTGCAGTTCATCTCCTTAGGTATAAACAGCATATCCTGGATTAGACAAAACAAGTCTAATTTTAAAAATACTGTAAGTTGAACTACAACATCTAGAATTTACCTAGAATTAAACCTAACTTTAAACCTATTATATAATGAACCACATTTATATTGCTCTCCAATGAATCCCAGACTGACGTGTTGCAGATATTAGATGCGAGTCTCACTTCAGAGAAATAACTTCACTAATTTAATTAAGGGTGTACGTTGGGTAGACCAGACTGCACAGAGTTGAGCACAGGGTGGAATTTAACCAGGAAACAAGTTCACAACCTTACTATTTTGAAAAGTCATAGGATCTTTAATGGCCATGCAGTCAAAATTTTGGTTTAATGTCTCATTTTATGTGCACAACATTATGGCTGAAATCTGATGAAGGCATAAAATAATTTAGAAAAGGCTACACAAAAAAGGATTCATAATATAGTACAGGAAAGGCTGCAAAGAAAAGAATTTGGACAACCTTGATGATTTAGTAGTAAACAAAATAAACATTTCATGAAAGCCAGCGCAACGACTCCAAACCAGGCATGATGTGATCTGAATGCTGCGCTTACACGCAACCTGGTCAAGATTCGGCCAAATTCTGAACACATTGGAGTCCTGACACCTGAGTCTTTCTACAACTTTATTACTTAGTGGTTTTGAATTTCTTTGGTCTTCATGGGTAAATCTTTGCTTAACATTTACAACCTGACCGTATACAGTACATTATAAAGACAGATATGTGTATTCTGAAATAATGAGATTCACTATTATTACATAAAGACCACTCAACTAATTATGTGATTTATTAAAATACTTTAGTGCATCTGACCTAATTTAGGTTTGCAAAAGCAAAAAAGGGTAAATACTTATGCAATCAACGCCTTTTAGTTCTTAATTTTGCTTAATGCTTAAATGCTGACATTTAACTTCTACTCATTCAAGTTTGGAATAAAAACATTCACTTTAAAAATGTGTTACATCATTTGCTACTGAACAACATCATTGGAAGGTGTGAATTCTGTTGCAAGACATAAGTACTTGTTCTGATGTAACAAAAAGGACAATCAAGCACTGTGGTTATTTTCATTTCCATCACTATTCATCTGCGGTCAAGAAAGCAAACTGAAAACATCCAAGCTCTGCCATCGGGCTTTCCATTTCAAATGAGAAAATACAGATTTATGACTAGATTATGTACCAAGGTCTCATTACATTTTAAGTTCCATATGTTAAGCACTTTTCTGTTTATAGTATACATAACACATCACGTAAGACAACATTACATTTAACATAACCATCCTTTAACAGCAACACATCAGCATAATGCTGTGAGCTAATAACACACAATACTCCTGTTAAATATTAGTCCAGAGATACAGTAACTAAAGAGCAACTAACCACAGGGGAAACATTACTAATTAGCAGGCTACCTTTAGCCTATTGTTCCACAAACAATTCACTAGAACTGAACCCAGTGTGGTTCAAAAAGGTGCTGCCATCTGGTGGAAAAGTAACAGTCGCTTAATTAGAAGCCTAGAAGATTGTGTCTTTCATTGGTGAAAATGTTTATCTGCCTCTGTATATGTTGAGTGCCCAAGTTTCTGGTTTTCTAACATTTCCACATTAAATTAGGTTTGCAGGTGTTTAGCTTCGGCGTTACTAGAAATGTCTTCAGACTGCAGCACAGTTACGCTGTGCGTACACATATAAAGATGTGTACTCAAATATGATCATATTTTTAACACAGAAGTAAAGCACAGTTAAATTGCCTTTGTCTCTTACTGTTACTCTGTTGTAAGGGCATGGGGAAATATCATCACACTCTCTCTGGCTTCATGACTATTTACACAGCATAGAAAACAGAGCTTAGATTCCATGCTATGCTCCTAAAGGACAGTCCTCTAGGCATGCTGAGCACAGGTGCTCTAAGATACTGAAGGAAATGTAGCACCCTCCCCACACAAACAAAGACAAATGCCTGATCTTTGTTATGGAAATCTTTTTAGCAAAGAAATCTAACATGATTAACTCCATTATAAAATGTACATTAAAATGCATAATTGAATAAAACAGTAAAAATAAAACTAAGTTTGGAAAACAAAGCTTAGACTATGTAAAAAATAATCTCACCTATTAGTATATCAACTATGACTAATCTTAATAATAATGCAAATACTGTGATAAGAAACCAAAAAAAGACAGAAGTAGACCAATGCCTGCTGAGTGTAGGTGTTGCAATACAAAACAATGAATGCATGGGATCAGATTGAATAGTGCACAAACACTATTCACTACCTATGCTGTAATAATGTAATCATACTGATGTAGTACGGTGATATTAAAGTCTTTAAATTTTACAGAACTACAGTTTATTTTTATAAATGTCAAAATAATGTATTACTATCTTAACCCTTCGCAAATTGTCTTTTGTGACAGTTACACAGGAAGAACATTTCTTTGTTTTGTGCCTTCTGCAGTTTTAACACTGTTACAGTGCCCCCTACAAACCCACAACTGAGAAGTGTATATAAGCCGAACAGAGTTCTTGTTGTGTCATTCGTGTATTCACTTTACATTTAATGCCAGTCTCTCCTGTTAAAACTGTTTTTTTTTCACAGTTTTTTCACTAAAGGACTTAACTTTGTGAAATAATCTGTGTCCCTGTCAGAAAACCTAAGAAACTTTTAATAGATTCCCAATGACCAAATCAAGAACAACTACCCTGAAAACTGAAGAAAAGCTCTTTGCCAATTAGAAACACAGAATAAAATATTGAAGCCAACCATATAACAAAAACATCATTAGGAATTATTAATTCCCGAGTCCTTCAGGCCCTTAACTCGTATTAAATTCATGACAGTTTCTCATTAACTTCCCGTGCACACAACAGGCACACATGCAGAGTTCACACAAGGAACTACGTCTGCAAAACCATCTTATCTCACTCATGGGTTCACATTGCCAGCATGTCCCAGCTCAGATCTAACAATAATTGAAGCACTATTCTTCATAGAAGAAAAATAAGAAAGGTTAGTATTTTCTCTTACTGGATCTGGAATTGATCCCATTTATATTTTAAACTGTAAATAACCATGCATGTAAAACACATCTAGAGTTATGAATAGAAATATCAAGTCCCTTTCCTTTAAATATTTTTTTTCCATAACAGAAAAACTGTTAAATCTCATGTGAAGTAGTAACATTTCACGGCACACGTTAAAAACAAAAGAAAGTTGTTTTTCTTATTATTGTCTTTGCACTTGATATTGGCAGCCTTTGTTTTTTGGTGGTGAACAGAACATCAGGTTTCATTGGAGTCTGTTAGCTGATGAATCGGTAAATTGTCTTTTGTGACAGTTACATAGCAAGAACATTTATCACAGTCATGCAAAGTTAATACTGCAATTCATAAAGCACTGAAGTTTATTCTTTATTAGAAGTGCAAAGAGGCATGATCCACAAAAAAAATCTGAAAACTGTACAATTATTTTTTAACACAACAGGAAGAAAAAAATCAAAACGCTTTTAAAAAAGAAAACATGCTCAGCAACACAGAAATTCTAGAAACTGCAAAATTTCACATCATACTATGTACCTCATGGAAGGATCTGTATTAGAATGAAAACAACCAAAATGCAGTTAACTGTAAGAAGATAAAATTATAGGATAATACCATTTATTTAATGTATACTGTGTGTGATACTGGTATAATTCTTTTTAACTAAATTCAAGACTTGATAAAACCATAAACACAAGGTTTATAAATTAGTATATTTTACCTAATGTGGAAATGTGGAATAAATAAGTCATATTAAGTGCAAATTATCCAAATGTTTTCTCCCGAATACTCAATGTTGCAAATATGCACATGATTTAGGCATAGAAGGAGGAAAATAAATATAAAACTCATAATTGACAAAAGGGAGAAAAAGGAGAACACACTTAAATAAATTCTCTGTTCATATCTATAGTTGTGACACCCAGTGAATCTGACATTAACAATGAGGCTTCTTGACTTGGATTCCATAAAGGTTCAATGATTCTCCACCGTGAGAAATGCTAAACATGCATGAATTCATCATCACTGAAATCAGAGTCATCCTCCTCCACTTCACCTTCAATCACTGACTTTTTTCCTCTGCAGCAAGATACCAGCAACCCAACAAAGAACACCTGTGTGCACAGAAGAGCCTTTTTTAAAAATTATATAGGTTAGAGTGTGGAGATACAAAGGAACAAGTAAAGAATAATTCTACTCTACAAAAAGTAGAAGAAAGGGAGAAAAAAACAATTAAACTGTTTAGGATTTTTCAGGTGAGATGGATTTCTAAATTCTTAGTCTTCTGCATTAAACTTTCTTTACACAAAAGAAGGCTTAACAGCCAAATTACTATGTGGTTTTCCAAGCAAGCACACTCTCCCTGAGCTCTCAAATTACAACACTGTTCGCAATGATAAAATGCACAACACACTACTCTCATACAGAATGACTAATACCTAAGCTTTGCTGAGTTAATCACAGTCACCGACTCCAATCTTTATGGTTTTACTTGCATTATGTCTGTCGAATTGCAAAAGTGTTATCCTGGCATAAATAAGTAAAAAGCAAATCGTTTGGTATGTATCGCATCAATACAGGTATTTATGTATCCTTATTAATAACTGGTAAATGTTAAAGTAGTGGCTTACCGCAATAAAGGCCCAGTTGCCAAAGTAATAGATAGTACTGAAAAACCAAAACTTATGAAGAAACAGGTATGTTCTTGTCACAGTGCACTGATCTGTAAAATATAGGGGAAAGAGGACAGAAAATGGTAAATGTATTAGACAAATACTATACAATACTGACCATATATCACTTGCACAAAGAACCAAACAAAATACATTTTTTAATGTACTGTATTATATTAATAATCTCATCCTGAAAGTAACAGACATAACTGCATAACAGTGACCTTCCAGTGTGCTCACCAAGCACGTCTGACCTTGTCGTAATGACAAATAAAATCATGTGTCTAAAAGCAACTGGCTAAAGAAAACCGCTTCTTGAGAAAAGTTATTCTTAGATATGCAATTTCATAGAAAAAAAATTGCAACATACACACTCTTCCTTGGTTACATAAGGGTCAACTTACATACATTCTTATTTACATAAGAATGTATGTAACCTGCGACCATGAGGACTGTGAGGAGATGGTCTCAGGAGGCTATGGAGGATCTACCTGGTGCACTATAAAGTCTATACTTCAGACTTTAAGTACAACTCAAAGTCATGCCACCTGCAGAAGTTCTCAGATGACTCTGCAATTGTGGGATGTTTCAAAGGTGGGCAGGAGGAGGAGTACAGAGGACTGGTCAGCAGCTTTGTGGAGTTGTGTGGGGAGAACCACTTGGAACTGAATGTAACAAAGACAAAGGAAGGAGGAAAAAGGTCAAACCTACTCCTGTCTACATCCATGGGAGTGGCGTGGAGATGGTGGACTCGTACAAGTACCTGGGAGTCCATATCGACGATAGACTGGAATGGTCTAAGAACATATAGACGATCTATAAGAAGGGACAGAGCCGATTTTACTTCTTGAGGAGGCTCAGGTCCTTCAATGTATGTAGTAAGATGCTACATATGTTCTATCAGTCGGTGGTAGCGAGCGCCTTTTTCTATGCAGTGGTATGCTGGGGCCCTGGGATTAGAGCAGTGGATGAACAAGCTCATCAGGAGAGCAAGCTCTGTCATTGGGTCTGACCTGGACCCCTTGGAGGTAGTGGCTGAGAGGACAATGGCGTCCAAACCAGAGGCCATCATGGACAACATCTCCCATCCCCTCTATGACAGGCTTGTAGAAATGAAGAGCACGTTCAGCAATAGACTGATTCATCCACAGTGCGACAGGGAGCGCTACAGGAGGTCATTCTTGCCTTCTGCCATAAGACTGTACAACGCATCCACCTTGCGTCTGGGCAGAGGCAACATTGACAGTGACCTGTTTCTGGACCGAACACATCTACTGCTATATCTGCTCTCTTTCTTTTCACGTTCACAACCATTTTTTGTGCAATACATTTATACATTTATATAGGCCTAGAAAGAGATGGATAGATTGTGTGAGAAAAGATATGGAGGTACAGTATGTGAAGTGAGTGAGGAAGATGTGCTCGACAGAGACAAGTGGAGAAGAGCAACCAAAGCAGCTGACCCCAGGACAGTCTGGGACTAAGGCTGTGAAAAAAAAAAGAAGAAGACATTTATACATTTATATTTATATCTATTTATATCTATTATTACATCTATATTTATATTAATATGTTTATTACGATTTTCTGCATACTGTTCTAGTTTGTTCTTTGTGTGTCCGGACTGTGAGTAACTCTTTTAGCGCACCCCTCACTGTACTGATTGTACTGTATGTATTGTACTATTATTATTATTATTATTATTATTATTATTGTATCATTCATCACACTGTGGCTGTGTTGTCTGTGTAAAGCTGCTGTTGCACTGCAATTTCCCTCACGGGATCAATAAAGTATCTATCTAATAACATTTTCAAGTTGCCTATAGTTCACGACACACAAAGGGCACGTAGAGTGGCAAGTTCCTTCCTTGGTTTATTAGTGCAGAGCAGACGTGTGTCACTCCCCCAGCTCCCCTGTTATCACATGGTGCTTTTTTGCTGAAATGTTTGAGTAACTCATATAACCTGAATAGCAATCATATCAGGGAAGCACCCAGGTGACCATTATTTTTATCATTTAACATGCATTTTATTTAGTGTTTAATAAGCAGACAGTACAGTGTAAGGTAATGAAATGTACAATATACATTTGTTAATACTGTCCAATATGTAATTTATTTAGTGTAGACCATTTTTAAGTGTAAGCTATGCTTGATATTTATTCTAATTATGCAATATATTTTTTCCATTCCTTGTTATTTCCCGTTTCTCCCTGTAGATAAAGGATAAGGTTTTTCTCTCTTGCAACCTCATGGAGTATTAGCTGCTGCTACATTCTGTCTCACACTCTGTCTCCTGGTGTGACAGTGAAACTGCTCAGAAGGGGTTGCTTCCGACTTCTTTAAAATCTGGGTAACTTAAAAGACATGAGAAACAGAGCCCTTGTGTAATCCAGGGAGTGGGTGTAAATACTTAACTCCAAGTGTGTACACACATTGAATTAGCCAAGAAAAATCTTCCATATATTAACATTTATGAATTAAATGGTGGTGGTTGAGGGGAGTCCCCATTACCTGTAAAGCGCTTTGAGTGGAGCGTCCAGAAAAGCGCTATATAAATGTAAGCAATTATTATTATTATTAATTATTAAAATGTAACAAAAATGCATGAAAGGAGTACAGGGTACACATTAAAACATTCCTACTGTGCAATTATCCCCTACCCTGAAATTATCTGCAATTATCAATATTAATTGCTTGGTAGTTGTTTGGTATTTCCACAGAGCCTCCGAAAGTTCATAGAAACTTAGAAAAATGATTAAAAATCCATGATGATATAAAAACACAAAGCTGAAGCTCCCAAAGCAGTGTAGTATAGCGGGGACTGTTTTTCCTGGAAAGTTTTGAAAATAAGTACCTGGATGTAATGGACAGCTCTTATGCTCGTTTTTAAGTTTTGTATTGTGCATAACTAAAGGCCACTATACATTTATCTTTGAAAGCCCCAGAGAGGGTCCAGAATGTGATGTTATATGAGTTTGCATCACATAGGAGTGCAGATAAGTATTAGTGCAATATTAGTGCACAGCTGCGTCATTCATCAAGTGTAAACCTTCAAAGTAATATTGCCTGTCTCTTCCACACACTTCCCATTTTATAGTGTCTTTCATGTTTCGAACAGATGTGATCCACAGTGGGCAGCACATTGGCGCGGTGCATTGCTGCCTTGTGGAGCTGGGGCCCTGAGTTATGTTCCTGGAGTGCTATAAGTGATTTGCACATTCAGTTTCTGTTCTCCCTGTGTTTGCCTGCTTTTCCTCCGGGTGCTCCAGTTTCCACAGTCCAAAGACATGCTGTACTAGTAAGTTAACTGCTTCTGGGAAACTGAGACTGGCCCCAGTGAGACTGTGTGCCCTGCAGTGGACTGACGTCCTGTCCAGAATGCATCCTGCCTTTCACCCAGTCCTTGCTGGGATAGGCTCTGGCTCCCCACCACAACCCTGTACTAAATAAAGCACTTTGAAAATGGATGGATGGATTATTTGCAATATATGAACCAATGAAAAGCAAAAATATCCACCTATTCAGAACAAGCGTCTGAGGAAGCTGGTTAAGCAGGGAAGGCTGATGCACTGGCTTGTGCCGACATATCCCAGCAGTGGCTGACGAACAGAATCAGAAACATACTGCTATCATTATTACCACTATTTCTACTTGCTACCTACTTTACGCGTTTTTGATGATCAAACATTATTATTAAATGATGTTATATTCTCAGACTGCATTTTAGCTTGGTGTATGTCCTAGTAACATAACGGCAAATTATCATCATGCCTAACCCAGCAATTCCATTATTCGGATTAATAACAATATAGCTAAATTTTAGATTTTTTCATCATTGAGGAAGAAAAGAGGAAGTTAATTATTAATTATTTAATTATACATATAAAAAAATCTATTATAATAAATTATATATCATTTTAAATAATGAATAAATTATCTGGAGTTCTAAATGAATTAATTAAATTAGAATTAAGCAATTTTTAAAATGTATTAAATCCAGGTCACAAGGAAGTCTGTGTTACTCTATTAACAATTGATAGCAAAGTCATGGAAATTCGCAAGGCATAAAGTCTATAGCATCGATATAACAGCAGACTTTCATATTTCATATTGTACAGTATATTTAGATACAATCAACTCCTAAAATGTGTATTTTAGGGCACATTTTTTGTTTAATAGGAGATATTTTGTTCACAACTGAGATATGTTTAAAAATGACCGACCTATATTCCTAAAAAAGTGAGAAAAAAAATGCATGATTTGCTTTTCTTCCCATTTTTATATAATACTCTATCAAACATACAGCTTTTGTCTATACTTTGTCACAATGTCACAATGAAATAGTGTGAAACCGCCACGAATATAGACTTTGTAGTTAGGATTTGTGCTGGTGAAGCTATCGGAGATGTGCTCTAACAGTATGGGTGCTGTGACTTCAGAGCTACCTAGACACCGTTGATGTTGTGTGGGTGTGAGAGCTGTTGCCAGCTGTGGGTGGGACATATCTGCTTTAGTGGCCTTATGTGTGAAAGATGCTTGTGAAGCGATGAAGCCGGTTCTTTCATAATGTTACACATTTTCTCAAGTGGGACAGTGTTAGGCCCCTTTTATGTGACTTTGGTCAATAACTACAACAGATATTTGTGAACCATGAAGTGCATCTCCCATCTATGCTAGAGAGTACAGTGGTACTTTAGGAGAAAGGCAGACCCATGGACTGTCATCACAAGAGATAACAAGAGACCAAGGATAAGACAGAAATGACGTCTTTTGGAAAAGGGATAAGGACCAGCGTGGGAGGAGTGAGGTCAAAAGAAAACCAGTTTCCTGCACTGCCAGTAAGTAGAACACAGCAGCTGCCTAATTCTTTAGTTAGTGCTTTAATTTAGTTCAAATAGTACACAATAAATAAAAGTTTAGTTAATTACAAGAGTACCCAGTTTATATTTTTATTAGTTTTTTTTTTCATACCACATGTAAAAAGCACAGTTTTTCACCTTTCTTACTAACACTGTTTATTTTTCTGTGCCCCCTGTGTCATGGTTC